TTGAGAGTCTGATGGAGCCACAGAGGAATGTCCTCCTGCACACACCCTCCAAGGCGCTTCCAGAGATGCGCAGACTGGCTGAGTTAAGGACCCTGGTTTAGTGATTGGGTGACAGCTCCCCACCCTGTTCCCCATCACTGACGTCAGTGCCCCAGCCCCCAGGTGGGGACTTCAGCAAGTTTCCCAAGCCGCAGCTTGGAAATCCAGCCCAAGAGTTAAGCTCTGCTCAAAGGTACCCGTTCCTCTCTGGCCTTCCCTTTTAACCCACCTTGGAAAAAATCCACAGGTGAATGATTGGGAAATTATTTTAGATAATTCACAGATCACCAGAGAGTAAGATCCCACAGAGCAGCATTTGAATAACCTATTTCTTGAGTTGGATTTTATTAATGGATTAGTCTATCTGCCCATTCCTGTATCATTTAATTGAGTTGGGAGGTTGGAAGTGAAAAGGGAGGAAAATCTTCCCAAAATCCCTAAAGTCAAACTACAGATGTGGGACCAGGGGTCTCTCCTCGTGCTGTTAAGGCAAGAATCTAAACAGTATCCACCAGCGGTCATAGAATCAGCCTCTCTCTCTCTCTCTCTCTCTCTCTCTCTCTCTCTCACACACACACACACACACGCTTACACAGCTATCTCGCTGGTTTCCCTAGAGCCACATCTAAGACATTTAGCTGGAAACTAAAACGTAACTGGGAGAACAGTATTAGTTTTCCTAACTCCACCCTGTTCCCCAATCACTCATTTGAGGGGAACTAATAAAATCATCATCCATAGTGTTATGGACTTTTAAAATCCTTAAGTCCCAGGACCAATGACTTGGGACCACGGAGCTAGAAGAGACTTAGAGTAACTTGGGGAGAGAGAGGGAGGAAGCCGAGGAGAGGGGAGCACTGGAGGCTTTGAGGGGTGAGGGTAGCAACAACCCGGGTGTCTTCTTCCTTCACCCCCAGGAAGTTCATCCCACGAGAGAAAAGCGAGAGACCAAGAGAGGACTGAGGTACGGTGACTTTATTATCCTGCAGGTACATACACAAGGGCTCAGCCCCAGGGCGGGACAGCTCTGCTACTCCTTGTGTGACTCTTTATGGGCTGCCAAGCCCACCTTGATCACCAATACGAGATACTCCTCAAAGTTAACAGCATTATCTGCATTGACGTCCAACTCCTTGAACCAGGTATCTGCATCCTTATTCTGTGAGGATCAAAGGGGGAGAAGCCAGAGTATAGATTTCTCAGAGAAAGCTAAAGCATGGCTGTCTACAGAGGGCAGCGAGGAAGACCAGTGACCCCTGGGGGCTTCCTCAGAGCCAGGCAGAGACCCCCAACCATACGCAGCCCCTCCTCACCTTCGTGTAATGAGGACACTCTTTAGTTAGCAGTTTTCTCAGGTCATCCCTGTAGATGGCATGGTAATTCCCCTTCTCCAGGGAGTACTTGTGGAAGACTCCAATTAAGGAGTCCAGGGCCTTCTCCAGATCAGTTGGCATGATGTCCAAGGAACTGCTCACCTGAAGGAAGGAGCCACATGGGGAATCCTGACCTGGAGATGGGGCACTTGCCCATGGAAGAGTGAAGACCAGAGGGACACTCAAAGGGCTCCATCCCCAAGTAATGGCTTGACCTGGTCTCTACCATCCAAATTATTAAACCAGGAGATGACCGTGGCTTTGATGGTAAAGGGTGGGATGTGGGTATGGGAGGGACACTCATATTCTCTCTCTCTCTCCCCCCCCCTTCCCTTCCTCCCTATGGCACCACCCTCTGTCAAAGAAGTCCTTGCTTAGGAAATGAACGTGCCCTCGCCCGCTGGCAGAGTAGCAGACTCCACTTATCCTTGGCGCTCTTCTCCAAGAGCAACAGGTCTTTGCTGAGATCTCCCTGAGCTTCCCCCTCCTGTCTCACAGAAAGCTCCTTCCTCAAGGGAGGCCTCCAGTGCAGGCCGCCCCAGGCAGCACCACTCACCAGACGTCCCTGAAGCTGGCTTGACAAAGGATCTCCAGTGCTGAGTATCCACTCCCTTTTATAGCGGGGAGGCTTGGCCAGCTCCTTGCGGCTGGGCCATTCAGAGAGGCAGCTCTCCTGCAGAGTTGCTCCAGCCTCCGGTTTCCCAACCAGGTGGGTGTGGCAATCACTGGGCACAGCCAGAATTTCTGAGGGGTGGGGAGGTGGGGGAAGCGGGGAGGGAAGGCTTGCAGGGCAGCAGGCCCAGGGTGAGAAACCAGGGGGAGGCCATAGCAAGGTCCTTTCCTGGGTCCCAGGAGCCCCTGCCTTGCTGCAGCCACAGCCTCACTCCTAAGCCCCCGCCACTGCTGCTGTTGCTGATGCCGCCTGTCAGCCAGTCTGCGCATCTCTGGAAGGGCCTGGGAGGGTGTGTGCAGGAGGACATTCCTCTGTGGCTCCATCAGACTCTCAAAAGGGCCCAAAGACCCCAGAAAGGCAAAACCTAGGGCCTTGCTGCTGGTTTTCAGGAATGAAGGGTGGGGTATTTCTATGGTGCTGTGTTTGGGGTGGGTGGTGGGACTCTGGGGACATGTGGTGTCATCAGCCGGGTCAGTTCCTCTCCTGTTGCTGGCACCCCTCGTGACCATCCTGCTCTGGGGGTGTGAGGTGCCTTGCCCCGGGGGTTGAGGTGGCTTGAGGTCCTCTGCACTGGGACCTCAAGGCGCTGAGCCAGGGCCTGAACCCAGCAGGGCCTTCCTCCCTGTCTGGGGTGATTTTTCTGGGCCAGAGGAAGGAAGGCAGCTCTGGGCTGGAGAGAGGGAGGGCTCTTGGAGGAGCCAGGTGCGCCCCAGGCTGAAGAGGAGAAGAGGAGGTGGCCAATTGTCCAGGATTTCAGGAGGGTCAACCCCTCCCCACCACTACCACAATGCCAGTCCCATTCCCTGGCTTCCAAGGCTGAGGATCTGTGGCGTGATTCTCCTGTCACAGTGCAAGCCACATCCATTTTGTCTCATAAGAACCTCGGAGAAAAGGAGGCCGTGGAATGAACCTGACGTGACTTTCCTAGGAACACATAGGAACACCCCCAGGGAATGTCACCATCATGTCCATCCACAAGAAATTAGTTAAAAAAAACCAACCACGGGTAAATGGATCAACAGAGGGAAGGGGGCAGGTGTGGGGAAAGGGAAGGGAGAGGAGAGGTACTGGGTCAGAATCAGAATAAGGTGTATTCCCTGCTTGAGTGATTCTGTCAAAATGGATACTACTGTCATGCATTACTAAGGAAAACCCATAAATTCAAAAAATAAATTTAAAAAAGTAACTTCAGAGCATGCCTACTGGGAAGATGGGAGTGGAACTGCCCCTGGACAGGTGAGGAAGCAGAGGCCCAGAAGGTGAAGAGATTTGCCCCGAGTTTCCCAGGGCAGGTGTGACAAATTCCGAACCGAACCCCAGAGGATCCAACTAGATGATTTAGGAACTTTGGCTTTTTGTTTGTAGTAAACTCGGTCATATTAAAATGCAGTTGAGAGGGAAAGGTAGCAGGTTAACTCTATTCACTAAGACTTTCATTACCAGCCCATTTTATGATCTGTGGCATATTAGTGACAAGGGTTGGAAGGCAGCTGAGGTGAAGATGGAGACCAGAGCTGGGTGGGAATCCAATCACAGAACGTGAAGATGGCTCCTGCCGGGTGAGTGGGAGCCCAGGGGATAAACGATTTTCTTCTTGGTTTTGTGGAAGAATATCTTTGTTCACTCTCAAGCTAGTGCTTCTACCTGTGCCAGGAGACTGGAACGCACTCGCAAGGTGGAAACACGGATTCTGCCGCTCTGAGAGGCACCACGGGGATCTTGCTATAATTTTCTCCAACTTGTAGTGCAAAGGCGAGCAGCTGGCCCCAATGTGGCCCAGGCCAAGAAAGATGAGAAGGGTCCCAGGGTCACCAAACCACATCCCAGGCGTTGCTGGACACTGAGGGGGTGTAGTGGGTGGAGAGAGAATTCGGGAATACAGCAGGGGAGAGTACACCCATTCTGCCTCTTAGTTACCTACGCTGATGGCGGTGGTGATGGGCTGTGTGTGTGTCAGGGTTGAAGTGGGGGGTAACATCCTAGTGCCTTTGATTGCTCTTAAAAATGCACAGTTGGACTTGCCGTTAACCCATTTTGTCCCATTGTCCCAGGTGTGGAACATCAAAACTACCTTAAATACAGTACATGAAATATTGTATAATTATATCATAATATCAACCAGGGGCTGGGGCTGTAGCTCAGCAGCAGAGGGCTTGCCTGGCATGCGTGAGGCACTGGGTTCGATCCTCAGCACCACATAAAAATAAACAAATAAAATAAAGGCATTCTGTCCGTCTACAACTACAAAAAAAATTTTTTTTAAATAATATCAATAAGAATATTATTACACTATAATATGGTGATATTAATACAGTAATATGTATATACTCTAGATTATTATTTCCAATTTATTTTAATGCACCTGAGTAAATTTTATTGAAATATTCACAGAATTGAAGACGTGGGACTTAATGGTTTCACGGAGTCTTTGTTGGAATTTATATTATCGATAATGTTTGCGCTTGGTTGGAATGCCTGTGCGTCTGCTTTTTCTGAGCCCATCCAGGGGAACCATGGGGAGGTGGCCCAGTGCTCTGTGGAGTTTTACCCTAAGTGATGGGGCTCTGGTTGTAAAGAACACCAATCTACCAATAGTTGGTTCCTGAGCTTATGGTTGGGCAGAGAAGGTGGCCCAAGTGGCTCTGGGAGCTTGGAGAAAGAGGAGGTAAGGGGGCCAGTTTTTACAAGCTTCATGGAGGAGACAGGTTTGGAGATTATCACTGACAAACAAGATGGTGCCTATTACAGGAACCACTGGGCAGAGTCAGACAGGGTTTGTGGCCCAGAGCAAGGTGATTTGGTTTCCCATTCCCCCAGCTGACAAAGAAGAACAAGGCAGTGGGAAGTTGAGAAATAGTAGTTTGGCAGGAAACCTCGTGCAACGTTTGAGCCCACAAAAGAGACCTTGGCTCACCAATTGAGGCAGATCCGGCCATGGAGATTTCCGAAGATTTGAAAGGATGACATTGTCTGAAATCTTTGCTTCTCCATCCGGGTTCTCCACCTAAGGCTCTGGTGTGTTTGTGCGCGCGCGTGTGCCAAGGATTGAACTCAGGGGCACTCAACCACCAAACCACGTCCCCAGGCCTATTTTGTATTTTATTTAGAGACAGGGTCTCACTGAGTTGCTTAGCACCTTGCTTTCTGCTGAGGCTGGCTTTGAACTCACGATTCTCCTGCCTCAGCCTCCTGGGCATGGAGAGGATCTGGGACTGGGCAGTTGGTCTCCAGTAGTGGAGCAAAAGAGCTTACCCCAATGGAAAAGAGTTCCCCATACATTCTCTACTTGGGGACCGAGCCATTTTGGTTGGGGCCAGGTCCCAGCCCACTTTCTGGTGTCCTGACTTAGGGATTTCCGTCTAAATTGAAACAGGCTGAAGAGGGGAGAGGAAGCTCCCAACGCCGATCGGGCTCCAGCTGTATGTCCGTGTGACAACAAACAGAATTTCAAACCTGGAGAAAGACAACATGGTGATGGCTTGTGTTTTCAATCTCATGTCAGAGTTTGTCTGGATGAAAGTAGGTCTTGCTACTTATCATGACCTGACACTTGAGAATTGTGGTCAGCACAGTATGTTTGATTAGCAGTTCACCACAGAAAAAGAAGGAGATAGTTTTCATTTGCTAGACAGGGTAATAGGGGTTTGCAGCCTGGTCAAGACGCTAAACCCCAAACTGTCATGGTTTCTATCACCCCATTAAAAGTTAAAAAGTCTTACATGTAACTTAAGAATCTTATTTAGGCATTCCGTTTCTGACTGTCTTTGTATATTCCCAAATATTATTCAAACCAGCTTTTAAAAGAAAAATCTTCCTTGCCAAATTTGAACAGATCAAATTTTGGTGTAGGCTCAAAATTGTTGATAATTTTGCTTTTCAGCACGAAATGCCAAGGCAGTTGATTTCATCTATTTCCCATAACAAGCGTATGAGAAGTGATTACTGTTTCCATTTTTGCTATGGAAAGACTTGGGGAGGTTAAGAAACCTGACAGTTCCTAGTCTGGCAAGTGGTGGAGGTAGAATGAGGTTCCTTGGAGCTGTCACAAGCAAGAGAACCTTCTTGCCACACAAATGTGCCCTTTCTAGTTGGTTTTCTGTCTTGTGTGTGGACAGGACCAGCCTTGGCCTCTGCCTGCCTCTCCAGCCTCTTTCTCTTTGCCCCCTGCCCCACCTCTGCTGTCCAGAGTGACAGGTAGGCAGAGCAGGTGCCGATGGACTTCTGTCTCTTGGGTCCCCTCTGCTGTCTCAGACACACCTTAGGGCCTGAAGTGCTGTGAGTCTTTCCTGGTGTGAGTAACATTTCAGACAAGGATAATCTTCCTGCACGTAGAGCAAGAGGATTAACCTTTTCATCTCGCTAAGCTCTGAGGGGCTGACCCAGCAGCAAGTTCCTCTCCCTTCTGGGGTGGAGGAGGCTTCCTTCCAGTATCCGGAGCTTTGGGAAGTTCCCAGGTGCTTTGAAGCATGACTGGATCGGCCACTCCCAGTTTTGGAGCACTGCCCTCCAGACTTGAAGGGCCTATGTGTGGCCTATCGCCAGACCAATGGGGGTCCCAACGGCCCCTGACAATTCCGATTGGAGAGTGAGACCCTCAGTGTGGGTGGTATGCCTAGAACATAGATATAAAATCAGAAAGATTCAACATTGCCAGTGGTGTGGGAGAGCATGTATGTCGTGCGAATTAATCCTGCCACCTCCTTCACGGCTAAACCAGGCACAGGCTTTGTACCATGGTGCTTACGCTCTTACAGTGACCACTCTCTAACCAGGTTACTTGCACTCCCTCATATATTCCTTTGTGGGGTGTCTTTCACCCTCAGATGGGGCCTGATGTTTGGCAATTTTGGATCCTTAGGTATTTGTGCAAAGTGACACTCAAAGCTGGAAAGGCTCACACTCAGACACACCCCGCCAGCCACACAGACTCCATTCCTCCGTCTGTGTCCTTGTACCTGGAGAGTGGTCCCCAGCCTGTCATGGACTCTGGTGGAGATGGCCAACACTGCCACCTAGGCTCTTTAGGACCAACAAGACTTGCTGAACTCATGCGCGAGGAGGACGGTGCGTAGCTGAACGGTTTCTGATTCTGTGCTGGAAGAACAGGGTGGTGTGTAGTTATTGCCAACACCTCCTGCTGTACTTACAGAGACACCGTGGGAGAGACCCAGAACCAGTCCCCCACCCCCAATTGGTTGCAAACAGTGGAGCCATTTGAAGGATCCTTCTGTGGCCTCTTCAGCACCTTCTTCTCTAGATGGCTGGCATCCTGGAAGAGGCCATCCAGGCAGTCCTGTTGTGGTAGGGTCCTCCTGGGTCTAGTGAGATGTCTTCTGCACTGAGACTGGTCACAGTGTCACATGAATGTAGTAAGAGCTGGGGAGATGTTAGGCCTATGAGATGAATTATCTTTGCAAAGTGACACTGGCTTGCGGGGTGGACTGCAGAATAAGCTCCCATATGGCCTTGCTGACCCAGCTATTCCAGTTGCCCCTGGTGTATAAAACCCAGGGAAGAGCGCTCCAGCAACATGGGTATATGTAGGTGAGACTCCATCCTGCCTGGCTGGTTTTCCTGAACCTTGGGGGACCAGCTCGCCATGAATTCTAGGCGTCTGTGGTCCGTGGTTGCCAGTCTGTGAGCTGTAATGTTGCTTTGCAGCTGGGTACAGTGGTGCAGGCCTGTAATCCCAGGAACTCAGGAGGGTGGGGCAGGAGGGCCACATGTTCAAAATCAACCTGAGCGACTTAGTAAGACCTTGTTTCCAATATAAAAAATAAAAAAAGGACTGGGGGTGTAGCTCAGTGTAAAGAACCCCTGGGTTCAATCCTCAGTACCCCATCCCCAATACAGCTGCTTTGCTTAAACTGGTGGGATCGTTGTGTCTCATTGGACTTGTGCAAGAGGTAGAGTAGCCAGTGTGTGGTGCATGTACTTCACAGGGAGTGGTCACCCTAGTCCAAATTCCTGACTCTTTATAGCTGCCAAGATCAGGCAGTGTGATGGGAAAGTGAGTGGACAGAAGACAGAGAGGTATTGTTCTCTCCCTTCCGGAAAAGCCCTGGGCCCTGCTTTAAAAATTGATCCTCTACTCCAGTGGCCAGCTTTGCGTCCCCCAATAACTCAGGGAGAGTTCTTCTGTCTTACCTCATTGGCTTCGTTCATTTCTTCCACAGACAAGACAAAAACCAAAACCAAAACCTGAAGGTGACATTCTGTTTGCCAGAACCCAGGGTTGGTACCTATTCTGTTAAAACAACAAGAAACAATGCTTCCTCCGGCCCTCTTCACCTCCATCCCCACCTGCTAGAGTCTGGAACGTTCCCCCAAAGACCCATATGCTAGAGGCTTGGTCCTCCGGGCGAGAGGTGGGAACTGCTCAGAGGCTAGAACTGGTCTGAGGTTGCCCATCTCTTTAGACCCAGAGTCCCAGACCCTTTAAAGTAACTCTGCCCTCTTTTTCTCTCTCGTTGAACACCTGGGAGTTTATTTCCTCTCTGGACATGGTAGCTTTAGAGAAATGTGTTGGTGATGGAAAAAATCACTTGTAGTTATGGAGTGACTCCCCAAAGCCAGGCTCTGGGTTAACTTGAAGACAGCTGAACTGGGTGGGGGAGGGCGGCGGCTGCCTTCCTGCCCTACTGGAAGTTGCTGGCATATCCTTCCCTATTTCTTGGGTAACTAAAAGACTCCTTTGGTTGTCATAACTTTTTTTTTTTTGTATTGCTGAGTTAATATTTATATTATTTTAATTTGACATAATTTAGTTTGATACAAGTTAAAACTTAGAGAAAAATCACAAGTGTAGTGTTGGAAATTCCCATATGCCCTTGACCCACAATTACCAATGTCAACCTTTATTTCTGATTTTTTTAAAATTCGAAGCTGCCTTGATAACTCTTTTCAGATGCTTGCATGATGACATTCTCTTAAAATTCTCCCTTCTACTTTAGAGTACCTACTTATTTCTAGTTGAGATTGCAAAAATTAGAATTAATCATGCTTTTACCTGATAATTTTTTTCAAATGTTCTAAGTTTTTCAATCATTTTTTCACAGCAATTTGATTGATTTAAGAGAGGGAGTAGTGAAAGTGAGCTTGACTATTTAAAAAGTTTGGTTTTTGTGTTGTATTCCACTACTTTTTGTACACAGTGATTTTAGGTGTGGCGGTACTTTTTAAAATCAATGAACTATTTGGTGGTGGTGGGGTAAGTTTCGGGTTTGCAGAAAACCTGAACAGAGAGTGCAGAGGGTTTCCATATGCCCTGGGCTGTCTGTCTCTGAGTTTCCCTATTGACACCTTGGCATTAGGGTGTTCGCATGTTAATTGATGGGTTAATATTGATCCTTACTGCCATTAAAGCCCATGGCTTACCCTGGGGCTCAACCCAGGTGCTGTGCATTCTATGGGGTTTGGTACCGTCTAATGACTCATGTCCTGCCTTGTGGCATGGTACCCAGCAGTTTCACAAACTTTGATTCCCTTGGCTTCCCTGAGCGCCCGTCTTCCTGCACAGCCCAGACCCCAAGGATTTCCTGTTGGGTGGGGAAGACAGGGCCAGCCCCTGACAGCCAGGGACTTTGCGCGGTGCTTTTTCTGTGACAACACCCTTGATCCCCTACCGCGCTTCCTTGGCTGGGCACCAAACAAGAGGCTGGTGCCCAGGTGGGGTGAGAGGAGCTTCCTGGAGGGGAAAGGGAGGCGGCCACACTGTCTGGTTGATTGCTGTTACTCCACTCCTGAGCCCGGCCCAGGGCCTTCCCACAGTGATTTTGGGAGCTTGGGCTGCCTTGAGGAAAGAATTTTTAAAAAGAAAATTGAGAACTGACTGTATTAGGGAAAAAAATGGAAATAAAGACAAAGGTCTGATATGAGATTCTCTACATCTACCAAAAATCATATATGTATATGTTTAAAAGAATGAGCAGGTATTGTTTTTTTATAATAATAAAACTATTCTCATTTTAGGAAATTTCTTCATCTGAAAAATAGGGCTGCTTTGAAGGTGTGTTGAGTGCCCAATGCCTCTTCACTTCTTGGCAAACAGAGACTCGTTTAGAATAGCTTTAGGTTTATAGAAAAATTGGGAAGATAGTACAGACAGTTTCCACATCCTGGCATACAGCTTCCTCTATTATTAATATTTTACATTGGTGTGTTACATTTGTTAATATGAATGCACCACTATGGATATTAGCAAAATTCCATTTATTCAGATTTCCTTAGCTTAAACTAATCTCTTTTTCACCTTCCAGGATTACGTGTTTACTTCAATTATTTTGATTGTCATTATTGTTTTTGTTTTAATAGATTGTCAACAAATACCTCTCCTTCTCCTTTCCTAGTTTGCTCTTAGCCTTTTTTTAAAATTTTTAAATTTTTTTTTATTTTTAGGAAGTAGGGTGTGAAGCTGAACTTGAAGGCTGGGCACTGGCCCAGGGCTGGGAAATGTGCAAGGCCCCTGGGTGTTGGTGGGTGGCCAGTGCTGGGGCTTTGCTTTGAGCTGAGGAGGAATGTGAAATTCAGGGTGGGTGGGTGGAATCTGAGCTGCTCAGGTTGCACTCAAAACCACAAGCCCAAAGCTTCTGTTGAGCAACAGAGTATCTTCCAGCAATTGCTTCAAGATGAATCAGAGAGATTTCTTGACCCAAGGTTGAAGGTGAAGTTTAGACTGCATTATAAAAGCCTCCTGGGCTCATGCTCTTCACCAGTGCTGGCTTTCTGCTACTGCTCCACACTTTTGTGCATTGAAGGGGTAAGTGTCCTTTCCTTGGCTGGCTCCTTAGGTGTCCCACAGGATTGTGATTGCAGGTGGTCACTTTGCAATCACAGGCGTCAGAAGCCTCTGCTTGTCTGTGCACTTCTGGGCTGATCTTACATTTTTAATTCAAGCGCTTGCTGTGCTAGGTGGATCTAGCCTCAGGCATGGCTTACCAGGGCTGGGATGTCTGTAGATGTTGTATGGCCAAAGTATTGTTATCTGGGGAAAGCGAAGAGCAATGTCAGCTACAGAACCCTTCGCAGTGAGCTTAAGTGAGCAATAACCTCTAAATGGTCTTGCCCGGTGGATGGAGTGGTGTGTGACACCACGGGCAACTGGGGTTGATTCTGTCAGACTATAGACTGTATTATGTCTCCTTCTCTCTTTCATCCTATCCACAAATCAAAAATTCACCGTGGTTCAAACTTGGAGCAGAGAGACCCCAAGTGGATCTGGAGGACGTCTGTCATGGTTTTTCTGCACCCTAGATACAGAAAGAGGGGAGAGTGGGTGTTAAGGGTTGGGAGGAGGAAGTGAAGCGAGACCTCTTTTGTCTTCTAGTAGGTGAACCTGAGGTTGGGAAGATGCCCACTCTGGAAGAGCACTTGGAGGGGATCATCAACATCTTCCACCAGCACTCAGCTCATGTGGGGGATTTTGACACCCTCTCCAAGAGTGAGCTGAAGAAGCTGATAACCAGGGACCTTGCAAACACCATCAAGGTAGGTGCTGCCCATCTCGTCGTCACCACTTGTCCTCCCCGGCACTGAGGGAGTGGCGAGTTCCGGGAGAGGATGGCGGGACAAGGACTGGGGTCGGGTCAGCCCCAGTTTGAGCTCCCAAGGACCTTCTCCCCCTGCTGTGGGGTAGGGCCTCTGCTGCCCTCTCTCACACTCTCTCTCTCCTTTTGGGCTTTACTCAGTTTCTCACTCTGGGATTTGTGTCCTCATATATAAAGGGCAAAGAAGGACGCAGGGGAGGGGAGGCCTGGGATAGATGCACTGCAGAGAACCTTCCAGGTCAAGCCTTGCCTGAGTCTGGGGTGGCCCATCCTGGAATGTCAGTTACATCCTCTGTCTTGTCATGTTGGATTCCCCAGTGCCGCCTCAATGACTTAATGTCCTAGACGTCACTAAACTGAGTCCCGAGGGCTGAGTGGTCCAAGAAGGGTCGGTGGGGGAGTTTGATACCGAGGGTCTGCACTCCCGGTCTCTGTTCTGTCTCCTAGAATACCCAAGATCAAGCTACCATTGACAGAATATTCCAGGATCTGGATGATAATCAAGACGGAGAGGTCGACTTTAGGGAATTCCTATTACTGGTGGCCTCTGTGCTGGAGACGACCCACAAGAACCTCCACCGAGAGTAGCAACCTCTCTGAGAGCCTTTTCCGCATCCATGTCCTGAGGAGAGTGTTCTCCCCCTCACCACAGCCCTGCTTTGCCTGAGGGGAGTGAGAATTAATAAATGTACTCATGAAAAATTCTTAATGGCATCTGTCCACTTTTATTTCTCTCCATGCATGGTCCCTCAACTTAGTTATACGTCACCTTGCTATTCTGACAGCCTCATTTA